GATTTTTGTCCCTTCTCATTGATTTGGCTTTTCAGTATATGCTTCTTAGAAAGAAATTATAATTTTCAGGGTTTTTGTTTGTTGTTTGAGATACTATGTGGCCCTGGATGTCCTGGAACTCTAGACCCAGGGTGTTTGGACTCATGGAGATCCTTCTGCCTCTACCTCTCAAGTGAACTATGAAAAATGTTGAAGCCGCTCAACCTGAGCCCTAATTTAAACACTATCTCCTACTTCCTCCATCCCCCAGGGTTTTTCATTGTAGCCCTGGCTGTCTTGGAACTTGCTTTGTAGACCAGGCTGGCCTCAAATTTATAGAGATCCTCAAGCCTTTAATCACAGCACGGGGATGGTAGAAGTGAGTGTTCATTGTTAGGTCAAGGGCAAACCTGGGAATTGATGCCTCAGGCACGCATAAGTCTCCTGCATTGGTTTTTAGCACTTTCATCGCTCAGTGGTGTTACCAGTGGAGTACTTAATACTTGAAGGCTGCTCCCTTTTTGTGAAGTCATTCCTGCAGGTCTACTGACCCATAGTTGCCTTGCATGGGGAGAGTTGCTTGATGTTTTGTTTTCCTTTAGACACCCTCTAGGTGACCATAAGAATACTGCTGCCTGAAAAGGTCTCCAGTCAAATATGCCTTGCTTATGTATTGTACAGACCAAGAGTAAAGTGTTTCCTCTTGAACTTTCTTTCCATGCAGCTTTCCGAAACCAAAGTTTTCACTGCATCGTCTGTTCCTGCCGAGAACCACATCAAACCTGGGCAAAGGTAAAGGGTTTCATTCAAAGCATAATTGAAACTTTATTACAATCTTTCAGTTTCTCTTTATTCCTCTGTTTAGCCTTTATTTCTCCTTACCGCAGCACTCATAGCTTCATTCACGTATTATCAGTCATGTCCAGTGATTACTGAATTGCAGTTGTTCTTGGGATTTGTTATCTTTTGGCCGGAGGCTATACTAAACCTAGTTATAATTCATAGTTACTCTTCAGTAAAGTTTTGATATTGTCCTTGAGTTTGGGGGTCTTACTATGCAGCCCAGGTTATTAATCAGGCTCCTGATTAAAACAATTTATTTAAAGAATAAACTTTAGCTTCATGCATTTGTTTAGATGATCTCTAACCTAATTCTTTTAAATGGGCATATTATATAATGTGCTCAATTCAAGCAAAAGAAGGGCCTTTGAGGACAGACAGCTTTGTGTTGTCCTTCAGAAGGGCTGCCCACCTTTTATCTTTGTGTGTCTGTGCTTATATGCACATTGGTGCAAGAGCATCATGACTGTGTGCCCTCCGTAGCTCTTTTGTGGAGGAGGAGGGAAATGTGGTTTCTACACATCAAACTCAGGTTTCCTGGCTTGGCAGCACCCACCTTTACCTGATGAAACATTTTTCCTGGTCCCCGACCCTCATTCATTCATTCATTCATTCATTCATTCATTCATTCATTCATTCGGGGGGTGTGGCGATAAGCTTCTTAGTGGCAGGGAACTGTTAAGGATGCCAAGCTGGCCTTTCCAGCACACTAAGAGTCCACCTGTGCTGGCCTCTCCAGTGCCTCCCTGGCCTGCCTTTCTCAAACAGAGATTATCTGTGTAGCCCTGAGGCTACACTTGAACTTGTGTTGGATAGTCAAGCTTGGTAGTTAGTGCTCACTTGTGGTCCCAGCATTCCAACGGCTGAAGCAGAAGGGTCATGGGTTTAAATGTAATTTGTGCTATATAGTGAGACTGATCACTATATATGTGATGTATGTATGGCTGCATTACTTTATATCCTCTTCATAATTTTGCTGTGTAGTCTTAGGCTTGTCTCATAGCAGTCCTACTGCCTCAAACTCCCATAGGCTTACAGATGTGGTTCACCATACAAGGCTTCAGCTGAATTCTTACAGAATCATACTTTTCACAGTAATTCTAAACACCTTTGATAATGGTTTAAGGGTCTGTATGACTGGCTCCTACAGCTTGTTCTTGTCCTTAATATAAGCATGGAAATGTGTGCACATATGCTCTGAATGTATTTAATTTTAAAATTAAAAATTATTTTAAATGATAGAAAGATTTAAGATATGTTGTATGTATGGATCTTTAAGAAGTAGCTAAGTCTTAAAACCAAGCTAAATGAGACAGGGCTTTATTATAGGGGAGACCTCCATTGCATTTATGACTAAATGAAAAATAAGTAATTTACTAGTGGTACTTTAATTTCTCAAAAAGATAATTGAGAGAGCTGGAGAGGTGGTAGATCAGTGGGTAAGTACACCCAGATTAGATTCCAGCGCTAACATCGCTGGGCTTAGCTGCCATAACTCCATTTCCAATGGATCTGCTGCTCTACTCTGATCTCCATGGGTATCAGACATAAACGTGGCACACAGATATACATAGAAGTGAAACACTCAGATGTAAAATAAATAAATATGGAAAAAAGATACTTGAGTTAGGCATGATGCTGAATGCCTTTAATTTTAATATTCAGGAGGAAGAGGTAGAAGGAAAAGAGTTCACATAGGAAGTAAATGTGACTACCAGAACCTTGTGTTTCAGGTGGTGGCATGCACGCCTTTAGTTGCACCATTTAGGAAGTGGAGACAGGTGGGGATCTGTGAGTTTGAGGCCAGCTTACTCTATACAAAGTGAGTTCTAAGACAGCTAGAGCTGTTACACAGAGAAACCCTGTCCCAAAAATGTACCAAACAAAAAACCCAACCAAAAATGCATAACCCCTTCCCCCCCCCCAAAAAAAAAAATGCTTGAAACAAATAGCTTGTTGTTTGGACAAGCCCGTCTTCACAAATCTTCAACACAACTAATAAGATGGCCACAGGGACCACAAATGCCACTGCTGCCAGTGACAATTATCCTTAGAGTTTTTATGTCATTTTTATGTCAGTACCATGTGTGTTTGCATTTGTTTGTTTGTAATAGGGCCTCATCTGGCTGACTTGGAACCTATGTACGAAAGACTGGCTTTGAGCTCAAAGATCCAACAGCATCAGCCTCCCAATTGTTGGGATTAAAAGTGTGGCTCACCAAGTGTAACTTGTTACTTCTTTCAGTATTGCATTTTCAGGAATGCACCATAAGCAACAGTCATGAAGAATTTTGGCTCATAAATCTGTATAGTAGTAGTAAAATGCTGGCAGTAGATCCTTGTCCAGGAAACAATGATGTGATGATTTCCAAGCACATATCTGATGATTCCGTGTGGAGCTCAGCTACTGAGTTTCCTGGGCAGAGGAGATCAAAACTTGTCAGTGGTCATTAATTGGAAAGAAAGATTCATTCTAATTTATTATGTGTATGTGGATTTTATTTTTATTTTGGGGTGTAGGTGTGATGTGCTACCACACATGAGTGGAGGTCAAAGGGTTTATGAACCATTTGGGTCCCTATGGTTTTACTAAGGTTGTCAGGCTTTGGTGGCAGGTGTCTTTACTTACTCTCTAAGCCATTTCTCACTGGTCAAAAACCTGGACTCTCTTGTAGTCCATTTATTTATTTATTTATTTATTTATTTATTTATTTTTTTTTATTTTTTTTTTTTTTTTATTTATTGTTAGACTGCTGCCTGTGAGCTGACTGTTAGACACTCTGCTTTGTGAGTGATAGGATAAAAGGTATCTGCCACCACAGCTGGCTGTAGTGCTTTTCCAGAAGACTCTGTGGCACTGTTTCTCACTTGAAAGTGTCTTACTAACCTTTTGGAATAGAACTTGCTTTGATTCTGGTAGTGTTGTAAGTTTTATTAGCACTATATGTAATATACATAACTGAGTGTACCTCTGGAATTGGGATATCATACATTAGAATATTAGCCTCAATATTGATATTGGTTTCAGGATAGTAAAGATGGTTCGGTATAAGAAAAGGAACGCAGGCTAGGAGCTTGCTCTGTATGAGAAAGCAAGCCTGAATGATTTAACTACTCAGAGCCCATCTCACTGGCATTATGAGAGTTTCAGTTAGAATTGTTGGGAGTTCTTTGAAAGGACTCGTGGAGTGCTGCCCCACTCTACAGGGTAAGTCATTCATGTTGTAGACAGCATTTATCCCAAACTTCATTCTTCTTGATGCCATGCTTTCCAAATGACTAGTTCTAGACTAGCCAAGGCTTTATATAGAAACTGTCTTGAAAGTCTTTGTTAGTTTGTTATTCCTTTATTCTTAAATACTTTAGAAAGAAAATTCTACATGATTAAATGTTATGAATAGAGTACAGAGTTTATATGGATATTTAAAAATTTAAGGCTTAAAAGCTTCTACTATGGTTGGGAGCATGATGTTTCAAGAAGTTTGAAGATGGGGGTTGGTGCCACACGATTTTATTCCTAGCACTGAGGAGGCGGGACCAGGGGACCTCTTGAGTCAGAGGCTAGCCCAATGTGCATAGTGACACTCTGTCTCAAAGCCAACAAAAATCAAAAAGTTGAAAGAAACATGAACTCAAGTATCGGTATCTGTAAAGGCATTGCAGCTCCTCTGCTGGTTATGATTGGAATTCCTCAAAGTTGAGGTTCACTCTCTGGCTCTGTGACCTGTTTGGTTACTCTCGCCTTCCCTCTCTGAAACTCCATTTTCCCATGGTTTTGCTTGTTTAGTCTCTGGCTTAAATTTCTTTTATATTGATTTGCTCTCAAGTTTGCTGGCTGGTGTGACTTGCTCATGACAGCTGGTTGCTGGTTTGTCTCTCCTCTGCTTAGCATTGATCTGGTGGCCTTGCTCCAGAAGCCTGTCTCTCCCAATCAAGTCACAGAAGCCAACTCTTTTGAAGCATCTCAGCAGCAGGGCTTTGGCCAAGCACTTGTCTTCACGAATTCTCAACACAGCAATCAGGCACCAGGGACTGGCAGCTCCTCTTCTACCAACGCCTATTCTCCTCAGAGACTGGTAATTCACTTTGGGGTCTTCAGGAATGCACCCATTAGCAACAGTCTTGGCTCTCACCTTGCAGTTATTGCCTCACAAGTAGTAAAATGCTGGCAGTAGATCCTTGTCCAGGAAACAGTGATGTGATGGTTTCCAAGCACATATCTGATGATTCCGTGTGGAGTTCAGCTACTGAGTTTCCTGGTCCAAGAGCAAACTTTAGTTGTTTGGTTTTGATTTTTGGTTTTTAGAGACAGAGTTTCTCTTTAGCTTTGGAGTTTGTCCTGGAACTCTGTAGACTAGGCTGGACTCCAACTCACAATGATCCTCCTGCTGCTGCCTCCCAAGTGCTGGGCATACGCCACCAATGTCCGGGTAGTTGTTTGTTTCTTAAAAGCATTTTGAGCTTGAAGCGAAAGCCCAGCAGATAAAAGCAGTTACTCTTCTTTCGAAAGATCTAACTTTGTTTCCCAGCACCCATGAATTTAAAATAGTAAGTTAGTACTAATTAAAAAAAATTTTTTTTTTTTCATGATTGTAGTAAATGATTTTGCTCTCTTAACATCACATCAGAACCAGGGACTAATGCTGCTCTCTTTCATTGGTTGTTATGGCATAGTTACATTTTCTTGTAGTATTTTCTAAAAGCATGGTTTGCTTGTTCAGATGATCCAAGGTGCAGTGTTCTTACATTTGAAGACCACTGTCTTAGCAAGCCTGGGGGAAAGAAAGCTCCGAGCTTGTTCTCTTTCCATGTCTTTACAGTCGTCTGTCCTGGGCTCGGGATTTGGAGAGCTGGCATCATCAAAGATGGTGAACATCTCCAGCTCCCAGATTCTGGACAAGTTGAAATCACCAAGTTTGAGTGCATTTGCTGCCACTTCAACCGCACAGCAGAACAGTACAAGTCCCCCAGCCACTACTGCTTCTTGGGACCTCAAGCCCTCAGTGTCCCAGTCCTCGGTCCTCAATCATTTTGGTAAGTATGTTTTCTGAGCTGATTTATTGTATTGAGTCAGCAGCGCATGTTGTATGTGAACAGTATAGAGGAGGAACAACTAAGTTAGTTGTCTATTGCACAATTCACAGGAATAAATAGATTCCCAGCTAGAAGAGGAGCAAAAATGCTGTACAGTGGTTCATGCCTGGGATTCCAGCACACAGGAGGTGGAGTAAGGGTGGCCACCATAAGATTGAGACCAACATAGGGTAGAATAAGAGCCTGTTGCAGAAATGAAGCAACAGCTTCTGTGGGCTGGCTTGTTACATACCTTTGATATCCATCAATTTGAGCCCAGTTACCAAGTGTGTATTTGTTTTCCTAGTCAATGTTTCAGAACCTGGTAGTAATGGAAGCCTCCTAAAAGTAAAGTATTAGAAGTCCAGGTGTGAGGTGTGTTGCGGAGTTACTCATTGCCACTTACCTTTTCCACATTTCATAGACTTCAAATCTCAACCCGAGCCATCCCCAGTTCTTAGCCAGTTGAACCACCGACAGCAACACCAGACCCCAGCAGTCAGCGCTCCTCCTCCTGGTTTGGAGCCCTTTGCTTCCCAGGCAAAACACCGAGAGTCAACTCCTAGAGATGGCCCTTCTGCAGTCAACAGACTTTTGCTTCCCACCATGGCTGTTGAAAATATTGTATCTGCTCACCAACCACAGCCCAAACACATCAAACTCCCTAAGCGCCGGATACCTCCAGCTTCTAAGGTACACATTCCATCATTGATTCCATCCCAAAGAGTTTATTTCACAGTAGCTCAAGTATTGGAAAACTGAGTATTAGACATTGGGATAGTGTCTTCAAGCATAGCTCCTCATCGCTTAGGAAGATTTGGTCATTTCTCAGGCAGTCAGTAGTACATTCATGCTGGGAGTACAGACCTGAGTCTAATTGAAAGCCTTTTGTTATTGTGTGTGGTATCTCATGGTTGGGAGGTGTTTGATTACCTGACCAGGTATTGCATGCCTTCATCTCTTCCGTGTCCTGAAAATAGCTGAATGTCCTAAATTACCAACGACAATATAAAACCACTTAACTAACTGCCCAATGACTCTATAAAACCACTTAACTTATAATATTAATGTTGACTATTTCCCTGCAAACCAATAAGTTGTTTGCTCCCTCACTATTATTTAAAAGGTTCTATTTCTCCCCTTTCTTTTTCTTAACTGTTTTTTGCCATGGCCAGTGCAGCCCACAGAAGCTACTTGGCTTGAGTATGTTGTAAGCCTTGAGGCCTGGAGTTCCTGGTCTCTTCCTGACGGCTTTGCCTTTCTAGGTTCCAGTTTCAGCAGTGGAGATGCCTGGGTCTTCAGATGTCACAGGGTTAAATGTTCAGTTTGGGGCCCTGGAATTTGGATCAGAACCATCACTATCTGAATTTGGATCAGCAGCTTCAGCCAGTGAAAAAAAACATCAGATGTCTATCAACTTGTACCCGAAGTCTTTAAGGTACCGACCTCACATATAACTGGACATAGTCCTTTCTTTGCAAAGTAAAACAAAACAGAGTCTAAGAAATTGGTGAAGACAATCTAATAATGGTTTTGTGCAGCTCTCAATGTATTTAGTTATGCAGACTCTGCTATATCATGCACTCATTTCTCTCGCCCCTTAGCTCTGACGACATGTATACCAGAACTTGTCTGATCTGCATATGTCATGTTAACAAGAATCCTGCAAAATGTGGCTTTTATATCTCTTAGCTTTCATTTAGAAGTTTTCAGAGGTCATCCATTCTGTGTGTGTGGCTTCTATTGCCAACCATTTCACTAAGCAAATGTGGCCTATTCATAGTTGGTAGGTAGACATTAGGCTCTTTTCTCTCTTTGCAAGTGATGCTTAGTACTGTTTGCTGCAATGTTACTTGTAGCAGAATAATTGAGTCATGTGATGAGCACCTGTCTGCGATCAGGCATGCATGGTAGCAGCAGCACTTGTCACCCTCCCAGGAGTCTACAAGGACCCAGCTTCTGCACAGCTTTCCAACACTTCAGTAGAATAAATTTTGCAAGTAGAAAGATTTGAAATTTCTTTAGTCGGTTTTTCTGCATCTCAAGGGAAAACCTGATAAATTAAAGACTAGTTGTGTAGTTAATGTCACTGTAGAATGTGATAATGAGCTGGTCTGGCTAGTAAAGCTGTCATACAATGCCAGTGTGTGTCTACTAACACAGTGTACTTTTTTCAGTGACCCTTTGAATGCCTCTTTACCAATGACCAGTGCTGTACAGAACTCAACCTACACAACGTCAGTCATTACCTCCTCCAGTCTGACCAGCTCGTCCTTGAGCTCCACTAGTCCAGTAACAACGTCTTCCTCTTATGACCAGAGTTCTGTACATACCAGGATTGCATACCAAAGCTCTGCGAACCCACCAGATTCAGCTCCAGGCTCTGTTGTTGTAAGTAGTTCTCTTGAATTTCTGTTTTTAGAATGTGTAATTTGGCAAATTATGCAATTTTGAGGCCAGAGTTGAAGGCCAGCCTGGTCTACAGAGTAGGTTCCAGATCAACCAGGACTAAACAGAAACCATGTCTCAAAAATGAGAGGTGGGGTGTATGTGTGAAACAGGAGTTGTTTGTTCTCTTTATCATGTGAAGATCTAACACTGTGCATCAGGCTTTGTCAGCTGGTGCCTTTGTGCTTACAGAGCCATGTTGCTGACCCTTCATAGTGTTAGGGGAAAAGGACTTTTTATCAAAGCAACGAGTGATCCCCCCCAACACACACACACACACACACACACAGCCTTGTTTGTTTGTTTGTGTGATTCCCCCCAACACACACACACACACACACACAGCCTTGTTTGTTTGTTTGTGTAGCTCTGTAGACCAGGCTGGCCTCAAAATCAGAGATCCACCTGCCTCTGCCTCCCCAGTGCTGACTGGGATTAAAGGTGTGTGCCATCACCGCTGGCCAGCCAATGGCTTTTGACGAGGCCTTGTTTATATACAAGGTCCACAGCCAAGTAAGACTATTGATAACATGTGGAGCCATAGCAAAAGTGTCTTAGAATCCAGCTAATGAGATCCATCAACAGTAATGAAAATTGCTTGTGTTGTTTTAGGGCCCTTGGGGGACCCTCCTGGATAGGCTATGCAGCTTCCAGGACTGGGGTTTTTGTTTTCTAAGCTATTGCTTCTGAGAATACCTTGATCCTCGAATAATGGACATCTCCATTCAAATAAACTGAAGGAATTTGAGAGAAAAGCACGAGGGCAAAAATGATGTCTAAATCGTGGCAGTTGCTGGTGGCTGGTGAAGAATGAGGGGAGAGGCTGGCAAGCAGCTGTGGACAGGCGTCCCTAGAGACGTGTGTGTCAAGCTGGGTGTGGTGGGTCTCCTAGAACTGAGCCACCAAGTGGACACTAGCCATCAAATACAGACCCTCTAGAAGAACAGCCAGCCCCATTTCTGCTGTGTTATCTCTGCAGTCCTAGTTGGACATTTTAATATAGAGGGCATCAGTTTCTTTTCCCCATTGCTGCTGTGTTCTGGATACGGTGTCTTAGCCTCGTGGGCTCTGCTGTTGAGTGTTGAGTGCTCGCTCTGTGGCTTTCCTTCCCAGCTTGTGGAGACAAATGTCATTTTAGTGTTAGTAAGTCCCACCACAGTGTCTTTGTGTATTCAAGCCAAGTGGAGAGCATAGTTACTGCCCACTCTGTTCTAACACCTTCAGAAAAGCTGTGTCTTAAGGGTCACAGCTCATCTTTCCTCAGAAATAGTCCTCAAAGTGTGGTACTTCCTGCTATGAAAGTTAAAAAAGAGTGTGGCTTTTTTTTTTTTTTTTTTTTTTTTTAATTTAGAAACTTTTGCATTATAGAATTTACATGAGAAATGGGAAGCATCACATGATTTAAGCCTTCATCTTCCTTATTCAATTTAACAACTTGATAGTTGCTTTGGAAGTAGTTTATCCTCCTATGTCTTTGTTTCTTCTCTAAATTCGGAATCTGATTTCAAAATGCCCACTTCTTGCGATTTGTTAGTTGCATTTTGTCTCTTTTTAATTTTCATTTTTCTTTTGCATTAAACAAAGGAATGAAATAGATATGGGATAGAGACCTTGATAGTTTTAAGAGCCCGTCTTGCTCTTGCACCCACCTCAGGCATAGGACATCCACCTGTTACCTGAGACCCAGCTTCTTCTGGTATCTAGTGATGTCCACACACATAGATGATACACATGCTCATGAGTGAAATGTTTGAAAAGAAATAACCTTTCCTTTGTTAACCTGTACATATGGGTGTTGCAGTCCTAATGGAGAGTCACCTTGGTGATTGTCTGGAAATGTCCACGTGTTAACTCTCTCTCTCTCTCTGTTCTTTGTAGAATGGACATGGTGGTGGCCGAAGTCAGCATACAGTAGACAGTAAGTGTTATGATCTCTTACAACTGATGAAAACCAACTAGAGAATGATCGGCTAACGTAACTCAGAATACACCAATGGATCAGTGGTTAATTCTTCAAAATTAATACTTAATATTTTCCCTGAAAACTTCTTTTTGTTTGTTTTTTTGAGATTGTCTCACTACTATCTCTGACTTACCTGGCTTGGCTTGCAATGTAGACCATCCTAGCCTGGAACTCATAATAGCCATGCTTGCCTCTGTCTCCTTTGTGCCAGGATTGAAGATGTGTAATACCACACCACACCCCAGATCTACTTTTCCTGAAGGGGTGTTTTATTCACTGTGTATCCCAGGCTGACTTTCCAGATAGCAAATTGTGAAGCCTTCTCGAGCCATTCTCATGCTCCCTTCCTGCTCCTTTTTTGAGAGAACATTCTCAGAGTCTTTTGTGAAGTCACCCTTGAGCTGTGGAGGTGACCTTTGGTCTCTTAGTTTGCAGTGAGATGCTTCACAGGAGTCTTTAAGACTTAGTATAAATTCACTGCACACCTACCTCCCCCAACCCTGTCCTTCAGTCTCTCAGCAATTAAGCTGGGATTGATATCACTCCTCTCCAAACTGGTAGTCCTTTTTTGGTTTTTCCGGTCAGGGTTTCTCTATGTAGCTCTGGCTGTCCTGGAACTCAGAGATTCCTGCCTCTGCCTTCCAAGTGCCAGGACTAACGGTGTGCACCAGCCACTGTCTGGCAAACCCATAACATCTTACGAAACCAAAAGAAACAAACAGACTCAGGAAAAATCAAAAAACAAAACAAAACCTTACCCCTGTATCAATTCTATTCCACATTTATGAATTACTCATCATTAACCTACTCTACTCTTTTATCAGAACATATCAGAGACTGAAATGGCTTCAACTAGACCCAACTGGAAAACATTAAAGCCTTCTCCATTTCCTTTATAGGGTGGAATTATTGCTTCTCCTCTGTACAACCCAACTCTCATACTCCTTAGCCTAATAATTAATATCCTAACAACTTCAGTATTTATCCCCTTTCCTTTTACTCATTGACACTGATTACTTCCCTCTCACAAATAGGAGTTAAAATATCCATTATAGTATTTGTAGTCTCTACAACCATCCTGCCCCCATGAGGCCTTCTTTCACTAATAGGATTGTTATCCAAGTACAATTGTTGCAACATAGCAACATTAAAAGCTGTAATAGCCCTACTCCATTCATTTCATTTATTTATTGCATATGTCTAATTTATGTCACCACACTCACTATCTTTCTGGCAACCAACAGTAAAATATTTAATGTTAGTTTGGTCAGGAGAGTGCCTACCTAGCCTATATCGAGTCTACATGGAGTTCAGTCTCCAGGACCACATGTAACCAGGAATGCTGTAAGGAGCCTATAATGGTGGCACTTGGAAAGCATGAGAATCAGAAGTTAGTTCATTGGTGTGGTATACATGAATGCATTCAAGAGGTGGTGGCAGAAGGATCAGGAGTTCAAGGTCATCCTTGGTTACTTAAGAAGTTAGAGGTTGTTCTGTGCTACACAGACTGTCTAGGAAAGAAAACAACTTTCCCAAGCTGCAGTCCAGCCTGTCCCCTGCCCCTCCCAACACTTCCTCTCAGAAAGGGAAAAGACAATGATGTGTTTCCAAGCACATATCTGATCTATGTGTGGATGACAGTCAAACTGAGTCTTTTCCAGAGGTCCAGTTGTGTCCGTGCTACCTCTGCAACATAAAGACTTGTATGTGTGATCTGTGATTAACTTTTTGAAACACATACCAAGGAAAGCTTCCGCTGGGCATCTGCAAGTAGATGTCGGTATGAATTCTCATTTGATTGAGATGAACAGATGTTCACATTTCCTCTGCAGTTCCAGTGCACTCTGGCCCTGGGCCTTCACTGGGTTGGAGCGCATAGAAACACTCTGAGGAGGTCTTTTTCTCAGCTCTTCACTCCCTTGCGCTACACTTTAAAGGAAATTGGTCTCACTATATACATGTCAGTTTTGGCCCATTCTTTCTTTCCTGGGTTCTTGTGCCAAGTGTCTGAAAATGGGAGAAGTATGTCCACATTGTGACAGCTTATGCTTCAGTGTCATGTTCTGTTGTTTTTCAAATCCTTCACATGGTTATGTAGTCCTGTCTGAAAGAAGTGGAGCTATCTAGTGACATGCTTAGGCTCTATCCTCGGAAAATGTGACATGTCATATAGCATATCACATGTGAGCAGACATGGAATGTCTCCAGTCCTAGCTACTGAAGCTAAAGAGACATTTCTTGCAGCTACTTCATCTGTTCCCGCTCCAAAGACGACAGACCCTCCGGCCCTCGCATCTGTGGGCTCCCTGCCCAGCACCACCTCCTGCACTGCCCTTCTGCCCTCTTCGTCCCAGCACACTGCCACATTGCCCTCCTTGTCCCAGTCTGGTGACCTGTCCAGCAGCCCCCTTTCTCAGCTCAACAGGTATGAGTGTGGGTGACAATGAGGAAAGGAAGGGGAGGGGGACTTGTGGTGCTCCTGTCAGATGATGCCATGAACAAACCCCCTGGTGGAGTGTCATAGACTTCAGTTGTAGTTCACTGGTCACGGGCCAGCACTAGCTGCAGAAATCCTAACTGCTTCTAATGTTTCTGCCTCAGAATCTGAGCTATGTTCTTACCCCATACCACTTTAATGTGGAATAAGTAGGTGTCTGCTTTAACGGCTCTCCCGATTCCAGAGATGGATTACTGGAATAGGATACAGCAAAGGGAGTTAGCTTGTTACCCATGTCTTCTGTGTAGAGTTCCTTGATTCATTTAGCTCAGAGCAGATGTGGTTGATCTAATGGGAATTTAAGCTAGACTCTTAGCTGTGGGCCACACATAGAACCTCTCTTGACTCCTAGTCTTATGAACTCTCTAGGTAAGCTATCCTGATTTTATTCTTATAGCCAAAATGCTTATATTTATTGAAGCCAGGATGTATCAAATGTCATAGTGTATCCCCTATAGGCCATTTTTGACCACCAGGATAACTTTGCCACAGGGTTCTAAGGGCATGAAGTCCCAATGCCCAGGCATCCTCAGGGATTCTATTGACCTTGATTATATATAGCCTATTAAACCAGGTAGGTCAGGCTTCCATGAACAAACTTGTTGACCTGTTGTACTCTTGTTTTGTCTTGTAGTTCTCTCTCCAGCCACCAGAACAACTTGTCCTCCTCACATGCGCGTCCCACAAGCACACCCCACACTGTAAGTGCCCACATTCGTGTACCGTACCCCCAGATCACCTCCCATGATTAGCAGGGAAATTGGTGAATTTTGAATGGAGATGACCCAGAGTCTCATGGGTCATTGCCTTAGATAGACCCTGGTGGTTTTTCTCACACAGGTGTCAGGACTGTGCTTGCCTTCAAGGACTTAGGGTGCTCTTTTCCTTACAGAACACAACCAGTTTGCAGGGGCAGTCCCTTTTCTGTCCCTTTTTTTATTTCACATTTTTGTTGTTGTTGATGAAGAATAGGTTTGTTTCTAATTCCCCTGTCTCATTGTCCTGCCTCTTGACCTAAAAGATATAGTTAAATTCCTTTGTGATGACGTCATTGGGACTTTGCTACTGGTAATGATTAGGTGTCCAGTTTGATTGACCTTCATACCAAATTGCCTGCTTAGATAGAGACAGAGTTTGAGGAAAGATGTTTTTAGAAGGTTAAGAAATCTAGGCCAGTAGAGTTTCAAAGTGGAGTGTATCACATTTATGTATGTGCACTGTATTTGTGCCTGTTGCCCACACAGGTCAGGAAGAAGGTTTCAGATACCCTGGCTTTAAAGTTACGGATAGTTATGAGACATCAGGTGTGTGCTAGGGGCCAAATCGAGGTCCTCTGCAAGAGTAGGCAGTGCTTTTAATCACTGAACCATCCTTTAAAGCTCTCTTATTTCTATGTGTGCGTCTGTCTGTGTGTGACTGCAGGTACCTATAGAGTCTAGAAAAGGGTGTTGGGTCCCCTGAGCCCTCTGACATGAGTGCTGTTTTAGTGGTAGTGGGATAGGGGCAGAGACACTCCCCCTCTAGAAGAACTGTATGTGCTCTTTTTTCTTTATTTTTATTTCATGTGCATTGCCAGCATGTATGCCTGAATGGGGGTGTAGGAACCCCTGGAACTGTAGTTATAGACAGGTGTAAGCTGCCATGTGGGTGCTGGGGATTGAACCTGGTTCCTCTGGAAGAACAGTCAGTGCTCTTAATCACTGAGCCATCTCCCCACCCCATGTGTGCTGTTAACCACTGGGGTTTTTGTTGAGATCCCCTTGCTTCTGTGGTGGGAATAAAGATGTGTTTCGTGACCAGCCTCCAGCCCAGTTTCAGTAGTCTGTGTGGACTGTGAGTCATGGTGGCTGAATCTGGCCCCACAGCTGGAGGCTACACTGACCCTGAGACAGGTGTCTCACTCATTTATAGCCGCTGAGTACTGGCATTGCTCACTGCCTGTTGAGCCATAGGAGTCCTAGCTGTTCCAGCTCCATCTTCCTTACCATCAAATCCACATGAATTGGCTTTTGTTTTGCTAGCATGCCAGTGTGGAGAGCACCCCATCCTCAGCCACCTTCTCAAATGCAGCAACCTCTGCCCCAAGTGCCCCATCCTCGGGGGTCGTCTTGCCTGGGAACAACAGCTTGTGCCTGGGTGGGACCACTGTGAGTGTACCCAGCAACAGTACCAGGGCCACAGCCTTGGTGACCTCAGGTATGTACTCCAAGCCCCTTACCTACCCCTCAACAGTGAACTTCCACACTTGTACCCACCTCCAAGCAGCCGAGCTACCCCACAGTGAAATGGGTAATCTGTTGTGTTTGTTTTTTCCTTTTTGTAGGCAAAGCACCCCCAAACCTGCCTCAGGGGGTGCCTCCTCTGCTACACAATCAGTACCTCGTGGGCCCTGGAGGACTGCTTCCTGCTTACCCGGTGAGCACATAGTAGAACTCCTGGTTGCTACAGGACCTGGTAAGGGGTTGTGAGTTAGGACAGGGCTGTCCACCTGACACAGGTCATCTCTCCCTGTCTGTCCACATAATACCTAATGTGTCTTCCTCCTTCTAGACTCCATCTGTAGCACTTGACCCAAGCCCCATTCCTCAGTGTGTGTGTTTTGGCCCTCCAGATGGCTTTGGGTGTGTGGTCCCTAATATTCCTGACTCTTCTGCAGATCTACGGGTATGATGAGCTCCAGATGCTACAGTCGCGTCTGCCGATGGTGAGCACGAAATGCCTCAGTGGACCTGGGCAGCCCAGACTCAGGGCTCCTCCTTAACTTGCTTGACCTCAGTGATGGCACTCTCCACAGTACCTTTGAGAAGCGGTGTCTGGTGGTGATATGCTTGGTTTGGCCTTTTTAGGACGGGGACAGATAGGGAGCAGTGCTCATCCCCAAGGGAATTTAGAGACCTTTAACCAAGAACACATGTTGGCCATGCTCTGAACCAAATTTAGTCTCTTATTTTCCTGATCCTTTTATTCCCCCCTATCTTCAAGAAAACTAAAATCAGCTGAGCATGGAGGTGCATTCCTATAATCTCAGCATTTGAGAGACTAAACTTGAGTTAGAACAAACAAGTCATGAGAGTCGCACGTGGGATGGGCCTGTGTTTCTTCGGGCTGTGGTGGCCCATGGCTGCCCTCATGACTGCAGCATTGCATGGGAGAATGGGGCAGGGGTTGACTGTTAAACTGTCATGGGTTTAGCTTTTTACCTTCATTTACAAGAATGCTGGCCTTGGTGTCATTGGCTCACTTTCAGCCAGGGCTGTCTGTTCTGACTCTTGAGTCTTAGGGATAAAATAGTCAGAGTCCTGTAGGAAAGCCATTGTGATAAGCAGAGAAACAGGGAGTGGCCTGCGCCTCATGAAGCAGGGTTGCTCTCTGGGTAGCCAGTTTCAGCCTGATGTTTTCTAGAGTATAGACTGTGGTCTTTCAGGTTCCTTAGAAGAGGAGGCTTGTACCCAAGCATGGGGCTTTGCTGGCTCCTCCTCCAGTGCTCAGTCCCCACACATGCACCCCCCCCACACACACACACACATTGTTGCCTGTCCATTCCACCCAGAGTACACAGGTGTAGGCTCACAACTCTACTCCATGTGCTGGGGTCCTTTGCAGAGGCAGAGGCTGCCTGAGGACCTGCTGGGTCTAACAGGACTTGGAAGAGTTCCTGGGTAGAATCCAAGCATGGCCTGATAACACTCAGTAGACTGCCTACACCCATGGGTCTCCATGTCCTTTTTACTTTCCTGTGTATGCGTATGAGGTCTGCATGTATGTAGCTGCACCATATCTGTGCCTGATGCCCACAGGGTAAAAGAGGACATCAGATCCCTGAACTGGTTACAGTTGTGAGCTGCCTGCCATGAGGGTTACTAGAAAAGCAGACAGTTCTCTTAACCTTTGAGCCATCCCTCCAACCCCCTCTTTTTAAAAGTTCTATCTCCAGCGCACCCACAGGGGAAACAGCTTTAAATTTTTTCTTGGATCATATTTTAGCCTATCTTTTGGGCATAACCCTTCTGCCTTTGGAAATTGGCTCTGTCTGATACAAGCATTAGGGTTTGCAGTCTGTCCACACCTTATCCGCTGAAATGGGCTCTGAGCTGCACGCACCAAGGATATTGTCGCACTTGCAGCTCTCTGGGACAGCTGCCTGCCATGGTCACTCTGAGCATG